GATGCCGGGCTGCTGGGATTTCTTCATCTTCTCATCAGGATTTTAATTAGACACGTCCGAGAGGGCACACTATGTGAAGGCGGGCAGGAGCTTTATCAAACAGGCCCCATCTTTAATTACTGTTTACTGACAGATAACAAGTAGTGGGGTTGCGGGGGGAGTGGAGAGTGGGTGGGAGGTCTTAGAGAAAGGACAGCAACACCCAGAATATCCTTGCACTGCAAAAGCTCAGACGTCTCCCATAGCTCCATGGGAAATTCATGGGTACTTTGCCATTTTGGCATCCCTACAGCCCAGAAGGAAGAGGGGACCAATCACCTTTATATTCATGGGTCATTTAAAGGCAGGAATTCAGGGGTGAGGATGGTGTCGGAAGTGGTCTGGAAGATTCAGTTTGGGATACAAAGAGAGGCAAATGGGACTAGAGCTTTTTCTCCTTAGTGCAGGAAACCTTTAAAAATAGAGATATGAAAACTGAAAGTCTGGTACGCTAGTATGCTTTTTGCATTGTACTATCTACATATGTGCCTCCCCCCGCCCTGTGGGAAATGTTGGCCCCAAAAGTTATCTGGACTGGCCAGTATATGTGCATATATTACAATCTTTACTGGAGCTGTTTGGTCAGTACCACGTTTGATGGCTTTTGGCTTTTCCAGCACAAAAATCAGGAGGGGCGCTATATATTTTGGTTAGAAAGTCAGCAATTTCACACTTACCGTACATGGATGCCAGACTTGGGTGGGTGGCATAAGGACCTGGTGATTTGTCCATTTTTAATTTAATTTTTAATCTCTTTCCAGAACTTCATCTCTTGTCCCCACTATTTGTCTCAGTTCCTCAGACTCCCTTCCTGAGAAAGTTTAGTTCAGACCCAAGGATCTGTCCTGCATCTTAATTTAGCTTCTCTGCAATCTCCTTATCCTCCAATCACTTCCCTAGCCGGTTTCTGGATTCTAATGACTTTAAAGGTTTTCCACTTTTGCTCTCAATGCTTTTAGCAATATATTCATTGACCCCCCCCATTCCTTATTGTCTGCCTGCATTTCCCTTGCAAAGTTTATATTCTTTTATATCCTCAATTTTGTCCTCCTCTTTTCAGCCCCAAGGAGCCAACTCCTAGGGCCCAAGGGGTCTTTGGCCCCTCAATAAAACATTTGAGGGGGCCGGGCTCCCCAAAGTTGATGGGCATTGCCTTTCAAATTGTATGTGTGAGCTGTACCTTGTGATTAATTAAGCGGGGCAGGGCTTACCATTCCTCCCCCAATATTTTATTCAAGCTGGCATCCCTGCTTGGACTTGACTTCCATTTTCTGAAGGAATCCTTCTTGCCTCTTGCAACTTCCCTGCCTCTGCTTCTTGGCCACGGTGTCCCCTTTCCTTATGTGCAGTATACATTCTAGCTGAGCTTCCATCGCTGTGGTTTTGAACAACTTCCAAGCATTCTGAAGAGATCTGACCCCCTTGGCTTTCCTTTGCAACTTCATTTTTCCCAGTTCCTTCATTGCTGAGACACTTCCTCTTTGGAAGTCAAATGTGGCTGCGTTAGCCAAATAAGTTGAATTTGATAGCACTGCGGCCGCTGTACCCAGTAGGTTCGGCAGCACTTACATCTCACACCACTTAAGATCAAATTGAGGGTTGCCTGCCCGTCAGTCAGTTCAATGACCTAGAGCCCAGCCATTTATGTTATTTAAAAATATATACCTTTTTGTTGTGGCCAGAGCACTCCTTTACCCGGTGGCGAATATAGGCTCAGTTCATCATACATTCCTTCTCTCTGTTGCTCCAGTAAATAACATACTGCGTGGGTAGGTCCAGAGCAAAATATGAGGAGGAGTTGTGAGCAGGAAATTGTTCTGAAACGCAGCCTTGGCTCATCTATTGGTTGCTAATTCTCCAGATCTCTCCCACAGCTGGCTCTAGCCTAGAACTAGGATTTCAGCATACAGCCAGGTGCTTCCCTCTGGTTCTCTTCAGCTCCAGCTGATCTGCAGAATGCTGGGTGTTCCCAGGAGCAGCAGGACTTGATAATTGGACAGTTGTCTTTCCATTTTGCCACACAGTAGAGAGCAGATTATAGAGCCCACCTGCTATAGATTTCCTGTCAGCCCTCATGAATCAAGTTCCACTGTCTTATTTACTGTTTGCTGGGAATAACATCACCTGGGGATACACTCTTAAACATTATGCATCCCCTCCCCACACTCACGCCACCATCACATGCTAATGTTGAATATGTAGCCCCTTCTTTCCCGTCTTAATCCTTTATGGGAAGATTTCCTCAAAAGGGAGGCCTTTACTTCTGCATCACCTGGGTGCTCGGTGGCAACTTGCAGGCAAGGCAAGTTTATGGCAACGAATATCCAAACCCTAACCCCCAAAGATACATGTTTTATTTATACCACTGCCTTCTTTTTCAGATGACTGCATCCATCTTAAATGGTGTAAGTGGCAGGCATTTATATTTAGCTGGAGGGCTCAATATAGGGAGCCAGCGTGGTGTAGTGGTTAAGAGCGGTGGACTCGTAATCTGGTGAACAGGGTTCGCTTCCCCGCTCCTCCACATGCAGCTGCTGGGTGACCTTGGGCTAGTCACACTTCTCTGAAGTCTCTCAGCCCCACTCACCTCACAGAGTGTTTGTTGTGGGGGAGGAAGGGAAAGGAGAATGTTAGCCGCTTTGAGACTCCTTCAGGTAGTGATAAAGCGGGATATCAAATCCAAGCTCTTCTTCTTCTTCTTCAATATAAATGCCTGCCACTTGTAAATGCCTGGTGGAGACTGAGCGCAGAGGGTACTCTTCATCCTTCACACCCCCTGCTTGTGCGAGGGCCTGCTCACCAGCTTACTAACCCTCCATGTTGGATGAGCAAGGAGGGAGCCTTCTGCACTCACCCAGTCCCCACCACTGATGGGCGGGCAGTTGCATGCCAGGCGGGCACAGGGCATGAAGGGTTCTCTTCACCCTCCGCACCCTGCTCCCACCAGGCAGTGGCAAGGGCTGGGGTAGGGTGCCCTGTCCCCGCTTGAGCTATGCCCCTGGTCCTGCCTCCTTCCCAAAACTGGTCAGGAAGCTGCTGTGAGAAGGAGGCTGTGACGATCACACAGGGTCCCCGGACGTTTAACGGTCTATTGATCCCTGTGTCACCACTGTGCTTGCTTCCCCGCTGCCACCAACCCATTACTCTCTGGTAAAACACTGAGTCCAGTCAGTTGTTAAAAGTGAACAAAAAAACAAAAAACCCAGTTTATTTTACAAACATTAACAAGTTTATGGTTTCTCAGATACTATTCCTGTCAGTGGGACGCGCGTGGCGCTGTGGGTAAAACCTCAGTGCCTAGGACTTGCTGATCGTAAGGTTGGCGGTTCGAATCCCCGCGGCGGGGTGAGCTCCCGTCGTTCGGTCTCAGCTCCTGCCCACCTAGCAGTTCGAAAGCACTCCTAAGTGCAAGTAGATAAATAGGTACCGCTTTATAGTGGGAAGGTAAACGGCTGCAGCCACGTGACCCGGAAGTGTCTTCGGACGGCGTCGGCTCCCGGCCTCTTGAGTGAGATGAGCACGCAACCCTAGAGTCGGACACGACTGGCCCGTACGGGCAGGGGTACCTTTACCTTTACCTATTCCTGTCAGTATCTTAACTTTAGTTTCTTTACTGGCCTATACCTTCCTAATACCTTCTGACTGATTATCTCAACTGTTTGACTGACTCCTCTTAACAAATTCTCTCACTCCAGACTAGACCACCCCACAGACTTATCTTCTCTGTCTCTTCTAACTCCAGACTGTCTTCTCAACCACCCTAACTCTAACTCCTCAAAAAAACCCCAAAACACACCTCTGTGCTTAAACCTTATACACAGTTAACTCTGCCCCTTCGGTTCCCATTGGTTAGTCATTTTACAATTAGTTAACCCTTTCCTTATGAACCCAGTATGATGTCACACACCTAGGTGGGCAAGCGCCACAGAGGCGCAAGGCTCTGATTTTGAGGGGGGGAGGGAAGGTGCTGGCACTGCATACTGCCAGAAAAAAGGCACCAGGGACACTGCTGTAAATAAGATTTGTCGCTCTGGTATCATTCTGAGGATTGTGTTCTTCGGAAAATTGCTCTTTCTGTTGGCTGCCACCTATTACTGGTTTGCGACAAGTTGAAGCTGCTTGAAGTGGCAGATTTGCAAACTTCCTGCAGCCTTTTGACCTCGTGGATCAGCGTTGCTTTTTGTTGCTGCTCCTGGCCAAGCTTTGTACATGTGTTTGCCAGTCTCGTATGCTCAAGAGTGTAACGCTCTCAATGCATGTACTTCGTCATGTTCTCTCGCAGAGTTCTTGACCAGACAGCGGATGTAATTCCTGTGTAGTAATGTGATTGCAACATAACAGAAGCAAAACAACTGTGGGCATCCTGAATGACTACACCTTCTCTTGCAATGTCTATAGCTGTATATCCCATAATGCAAATAACAAAACCTGCTTGAGTCCAATACATCCTGTCTTCCACACAGGCGCATATCAATTAATTGCTTAATCTGCTCATGTGTCTAACTGCTACTGGGACCCATCCCAGTCCCATAGAGATGCATATCAACTAATTGCATGGGGCTATATTCTGGTAACTTGTTTAGCATAGAACCTTAATTAGCCAGCCCGTATATCTAGGCTAAATGTGAGAACCAAATACAGAACTTTGCTATGGTAATTGCTTTGCACAGGGAACTTTTAGATAACTCCCATTTTATTCAGTATTTCCACACCCCAAGATGTGGTTTTTACTGCGTATGGCCGAGTGCAAGACTTAGAATGTGATAGACTTTGAAAACACGACAGTTTATTTAATATATAATTGGTTGTGTTAAATTAGGGGGAGGGGTGCAGTAAAATATTAGTGCCTTAAAGACTATGCAGCAGTTTGGCTTTCTGATATTCATTGAATAACATTGAATCATAGAGTTGGAAGGGACCACAAGAGTCATCTAGTCCAACCCCTCTATTCAGTAATCTTTTGCCCAACGTGGGGCTCGAACCCACCACCCTGAGATTAGGAGTCTCATGCTCTACCCCAGGCACCCCCAAACTTGGCCCTCCAGCTGTTTTGGGACTACAATTCCCGTCATCCCTGACCACTGGTCCTGTTAGCTAGGGATGATGGGAATTGTAGTTCCAAAACAGCTGGAGGGCTGAGTTTGGGGATGCCTGCTCTACCCTCTATTTCCAGCTCTCAGTACAACTGGACCCCCTGGAAAACCAGTGTCCTGATTCCACAAAGAAACCCTAAGCACATACAGTTGTATGCATGGGGACTCTTTTCGGATTTGCTTCCTTTCCCGCACTGCACAAGTTAATATGGTATCTCAAAGCAGCTCCCCACTGCCAGAATCTAGACTCTGGGGTGTCGTTTCAGATCACCGTTCCAGGGAAATGAGAGAAATTTCAGGAGTGTGTTACAGCATGCTTCAAAACCTACTTTTGAATATATTGAAAATTAAAAGTGCTGTATTTTTAAAGAGCATTTGCTATGGTTACTTCTTCAAACTTTGTAACTTTATCAAGATGATAAGCATGAAGTAAAGTGTCACATGGAAGCCAAGGGATATGGGCCCTTGACATGCGTACATGCTGCATAAAGTCATTTAATGGTTTATGCCACTCAGGGACAAATCAAACTGTATATTCTTGCTTTTAAGGCAAAATAACAGCAAATGGGAGGGGGGCATTCAATGCAGGAAACTCGATCAGGAGTTCATTTAGGATCAGGACCCTACCACTAGTTTATCTTCAAAATAAAAGTGTGCCTTATGTAATAAATAATGTCACCATGAGTATGCCAAACCAGTGAAGTGGCCACACTTACAGGAGCTTCTGAAGAATCATCACACCATTGCCTGAAACTGTAATTCCTGTTATATATTGGTTAGAACATTTTGACACCCTTCTTTTGGTAGGTTGGTAATAATTTTACTATAAGCCACAACAAAACAGAAAGTAAAACCACAACATTCCAATTTGAGCCACAAATTTAGCTCTTAATGGCCTGGCCACCAGCACAACTAAGGAAACAGGCAGAGTAGCTTAGTTTTCATCATCAAACAGCCAAAAAGCATACAGATGCTAGTTTCTGGGTTTTTGCTATGTCAGAGCAGTGTCAGCGGTGGGTGTAGACAAACAGTTTCATATCCAGTGACCCATCCATACTGAATTTTTATTTGAAAGAATACTTGTAATGCCATTTGCATTTTATCCAGCTACCCCTTACTTTCTTAAATATGCAAAATGAACAGCTGATCAAAGTTGCCAGCAGCCTTAAGCAGAAGTCAGCAGCTGCAGCCACCCTAGCAATGATATAAATTTCATGACTTATTCATTATTATGTTTATGTGTTATTTTCTGACACATGCAGAACAAAAGTGGGGGGGGGCGTGTAGGTGGAAATAATGGGTGAACGACAGGCCAATCCTAGGCATGTCAGCTCAGAAGTAAGAATAATTGAGCTTAATGGGGCTTACTCCAAGGTAAATCCGTGTGTATAGGATTGTAGCCTTAGAGTGTTCAACGCCGATTGAGAAAATCTTGGAACTGGGGTTCAGTTATCACAGCATGTAATATCCATATAAAGGACAGAGGAGGGCATACCTCTGGGGTTCCCTCCCCCTTCCCAATAGATTGGAAATATTTAAAGGATCCATATAGGGTCTGTCTTATACACACAGAGACATCTCATGATTGCTTTCTGATTCTGAAGTTACAGGGAACCAGGCAGAGGGCCTTCTCGGTAGTGGCGCCTTCCCTGTGGAACACCCTCCCACCAGATGTCAAAGAGAACAACAACTACCAGGCTTTTAGAAGACATCTGAAGGCAGCCCTGTTTCGGGAAGCTTTTAATGTTTGATGTATTATAGTATTTTAATATTCTTTTGGAAGCCGCCCAGAGTGGCCGGGGAAGTCCAGCCAGATGGGCGGGGTATAAATAATAAATTATTATTATATTATTATTATGAAGAAACCGATTCTGCAGTATAGATTAGTATTGCCTATCTGGTTGCATGGCTGTCCCCCAATTTTCAGTGAGTGTATTTGTAAGTAAGCAGGCATTGCATGTGGCAGCATAATTTTCCAGTACTCTTCTCTTCACTACTGAAGACAACCTTTAAAACGGAAATGGGGAACCTGTGGTGTTGCTGGACTAGAACTCCCATCATCTCTCCCCATTGGCCATGCTGGCTGGGGAAGGTGAGAGTTAAGAACCAAAGATCACCAGAAGAGCCTGCTGGAACAAGCCAAGGGCCCATCCAGTCCAGCATCCTCTTCTCACAGTGGCCCACCACATGCCTGGGGGAAATCCACAAGCAGGATTTGAGCACCCTGGAAGCAAAGCAGAGCCATTGTGGCTGGTAGCCACCGTTAGCCGTGTCTTCCATGAAATTGCCTAGTCCTCTTTTGAAGTTGGCGGCCATCACTGCCTCCTGTGGCAGTGAGTTCCATAGTTTAACTGTGTGCTTCGAGTCCCCAAAACGCCTGGAAGGTCTCGTAATTTCTGAGCACGTTTCCGAGCACAATTCAAAGTGTTGGTGCTGACCTTTAAAGCCCCAGATTGCCTCAGCCCAGTACAGTGGTACCTCTGGTTACAGACGCTTCAGGTTACAGACACTTCAGGTTACAGACTCCACTAACCCAGAAATAGTACCTCGGGTTAAGAACTTTGCTTCAGGATGAGAACAGAAATCGTGCAGCGCGGCAGCAGCGGGAGGCCCCATTAGCTAAAATTGTACCTCAGGTTAAGATCAGTTTCAGGTTAAGAACGGATCTCTGGAACGAATTAAGTTCTTAACCTGAGGTACCACTGCATCCCTGAAGGGGCATCTCCACCCCCATTGTTCTGCCCGGACACTGAGGTTCCTCATTGCGAGAAGTGAAGTTACAGGGAACCAGGAGAGGGCCTTCTCGGTAGTGGCGCCTGCCCTGTAGAACACCCTCCCATCAGATGTCGAGGAAATAAACAACTATCTGACTTTTAGAAAACCTGAAGGCAGCCCTGTTTAGGGAAGTTTTTGATGTTTGATGTTTTATCGTGTTTTTAATATTCTGCTGGGCACTGCCCAGAGTGGCTGGGGAAACCCAGCCGGATGGGTGGGGTAGAAATAAGTAAGTAAGTAAGTAAGTAAGTAAATAATAAAATAATAATAATTCCTGCTTTAAGAAGCCCCCTGGACTGTCTTACTGTGTGGGGGAGCAAGGTGTGAGGAGAAGCATGTTAATGGGAGCTATGGTTGTGGGCTCAGTCTGCTGGGCCTTGCAGCAGCCTCCTTGTTTTGAGGGCAGGAGTTCCCCACTGAATGGGCGTCTCTCTCTCTCTCTCTCTTGTACAGATCTGTCAAGCAGAAAATGTTTGCTTGCCGCTTTGGATTCCAGATCAAGGTGGAAAGAATAAAAGTGATTTGGAAATCACCTGGCTGAGTAGGCAGGCTGCAGAGGGCATACGGGACAAAGAGCTTTTGCTTGTGTGGGGTGCAGCTGGGGATGGGGAGACATAGATGACCGGATTTATTTATTATTCATATTCTAATTTTTCTCTGCTCGTATTTCTCCAACTGCTGGAAATAAGGGTTTTTCTTAACTGTCTCTGTTATTTCGTGAGCTCCCTGTGTGACATTGACACTGTCTTTGAGATGGGGAGCGCCCTCTAGTGGTCAAGGACACCCACACACCTTCCCCGAGATTAGCAGCAATACAGGTTTAGTATATTTAGGTTGGCTTCCTCTGGCTTTTAATTTGCAAACATCACGGTACGCTTAGGGGGGGCGCTTCTTCCCTAGGTGGAGAGGATGAAGTGGAATCTGGAAGGTAAGAACATGGAAAAAGGAAGATTGTAGGGTATATTCCTAATCTTGACTGCACACTTATTGGGTGTTCTTGCTTCTAAAAACACCCCTTTTCCAAACTTTGCATTTTCCTTCAGAAATGTACGTTTGGTGCAGTATGATGTCGGTGTCCTGCAGTCTGACAGCAGCTCATTGTCCAGAGGTTATTCCAGAGAGCATACCAAGATCTTATTGGGTTATATCTTTTTCACCTGACAGCCACTTCACGCAGGATGAAATCTGCAGGAACCCTGCATGGAGGTTATTGCTTGTGATCATCCTAAACTGCACATGCATAATTCAGTCATAAACACAGAATCATCCCTCACGATAACCCGGAAATTCAGAATTCAAAATCATACAAGTTCTGAAATAAAGTGGAAATGGAAACTCCTTTGTGTTTTTCTAGGGACACCAGTTTTCCAATGAGATCTTCTTATAGCTGTCAAGCGTCCCTTATTTGAAGGGACAGTTCCTTATTCCAGCGCCATGTCCCGCTGCTGTCCCTTATTGATGGATGTCCCTTAAATGATGTCCCTTAAATTTCAAAGGAAGCAGCTCCTCTCCCTCCTCCCTGCCGGCCAGGGAGGAGGGAGGCTCCAACTGTGTTGCTTGGCTGTGTTGCTCACCCAATAAGAAGTCTAAGAACGACTGGGGGGTGGAGCTTGCATGCCTTGTGTGTGGCTAGTTAATGCAAGCTGAGGGGTTTTTTGAATGCTGGATGCCATTTTGTTGCACGTGCTGCTGCAAACTTTGCAGCGCATAGCCAGGCCGTGGAGCCATCTTAAGCTGAGGCTGCATAGGCCTTGTGGTACATGTGATTCAGATTCTATTCAGTTGAACCTCTGGTTACAAAGTTGGTTGGACAGTGTTCTTGAAGCTACCAGCAAGAGTTTGACCAGACTGCAGGAGGACAGGAAGACTGGAGTGCCTGAAACAGGTGAGGCTGCAGGTCCCTTATTTTGGCTGCTGATCCCTTATTTTCAAGGCTGCTGGTCCCTTATTTTCAAATCTGTAAGTTGACAGCTATGGATCTTCTTTCTCCCTCACCGCCCACCCTTGGCATTAACAAATACCTCACACTAATCTGATTTTGGTTATTTTCACATATGTTGATAGCAGTATAGTCCACTCCTTGGCATACAGAAATTCAGCTCAGGTTTCCCTTCTCTTTCTTTTAAGTGGATTAAATAGACTGAGTGGGATAGTCTTTGCCTGCCTGCCT